ACTCGGACAGAGAGACCTTGCCTAACGCACCTAATCCTGTCTCATCTACAAAAGTATTCAGGATAAGTTCCAGCATCGGACCGGAGATGCCACATCAGTTAAACCTAAAATAGGTTGGAGGGAGTGTCTTCACTTGTCACTATGATAAGTTGTAACTCTGTGCTTGGATGGAGCTTTTCACTGACGATGCCGATCGTGATAGCGGCGAAACGTATGGGAATGTACCTAGTCAAAGGTCCGATGAGGGAAAGCATCGTGAATACTATGGCCGAGCACGCAAAACTAGGTACATTCCAAAATGTCTTCGTTTCGCTCCAACCTAGTGAAGAAAATGAGATCAGACCAAATAAATAAGAAAAAATTGTGAAATGGCACTCAAAATTATGTACTGACTAGTGAATAGTGATGAGTAGTGTATTTAAAAAACGGACAAATGCATTAAGAAGCTCATTCAGCATGGAATTAATATGATATTTTGAGAAAAGAAATAAGTTCAAAATAAGAACAGTGGAATTTCAAAGATACGACAATAAAAAGTATGAAATCAAAGATAAATGTTATTTGATTAATTTGTATTTACAAATATGACAGCTGATGGCATTTTAAAAGTTATGCAAAGTCAGAAGTTAGTGCTTCATTGGAAGGTTAATGAAGATGAATTCAAGATCTGATCCAAAATAGCATGCGTGTCATGGGATATAACTGGTAATGATAATGCTTTGTAAAGGGATCAAAAACAAGCCAAGATACCACTCTAGTAACGGAATTCTATGTGAATGAAAATCGTAACATTGTGTGGTATTTTAGGCTTCTTCAAAAGATTTTGCCTAAATCAAATAAAAAGCAGGTCTTCGCGTTTGTCTGAGGCCGGCGGCTGCCATGTCAGAAGAACCTAATCACTAAGATCAGCAGTGACAAAACCTTCAATTGTGATAAATCTTCTTGTTGAACTAATTCAGTAATGAAGGCTGTACGCGGAGAAGGTTGTCGAGAGGGGGCTATGTGGTTCTAGGGTGAGATATAGTAATTCATATGAGACTCTAGGACAGAAAAAAAAGAAAAGCTGCACATCAAATTGATATAATGAAATCATAGACACATTGGTAAAATGCAGATGGTAAGTAGCGACGATCAAACAAAACGAAAAATAAAACGAAGAACATTTGGCCAAAAATAGACAGGTGGCTGAGTTCTTCTAGAGGGATGAAAAAAGAAATCATTCCGGGAGATGGGAACGCTATACCAACACGGGCACTCATAGATTAAATAACATGGCGCTGGACACCATGCTCACGGCAATTTCGCGTTGGGGTTGGCTTGGCAGCGAGCACAGCTTCGGTCCTCAGCTAAGCTCAATCTGAATCTGCGAGGGAGAGGAGGCGCGATAATGGGAAGAAGAGTTGCTCGTGGGGAGGGCTACAACAAATTGATGCTGGGACATACCGACTGGTGGAGGTGAAGGAGCAGATTACCTGGTTGGCAAGTCTGTCAGCCTGTTTGTTGACTAAACGAGGGATTGGGAATTCGGTCTGCATACTGTCTTGATGGTTGGTTTTGTGGCCGGTAGTTGGAGAAATACACACAACGTTTCATTCGCTTTTCGGAGAACAAGGTAGGCGTAGGTACAAGCTGAAAAATAGGATTGGTTTTTGACATTCATGTATACACTGTACCTCGGCATAACTCTCAGTACTCTGACCTCGCTACTCCTTGCTCTGCAGAATGCTGTGAAAACAGACAATCATGAGCACAAGCAACTAGTGAGAGATGTCAACCGTGTGGTCGCTGCAGACGGCGTCATGCCTGCTAGGTTGGCTGGCTAGAGACTAGCTGGATTTCTTGAGCATCGTTTCATCGTGCCGAGGGCAAGGCTGGGTCACCTGTTGGGAAAGGCTTTCGTCTCAACAACCTCGTTGATGTGGTGGTTTGACCGAGCAGGTCTGCGCTGATGGAGAGTTGCGAAAAGGTGAGTTATCCTCTGGACATGTGAGTTGGGAGAATGACGGTGAGCCAAGGTGATGCGAAGTGAGCTGGGGAGAAATGAAGCAAAGTGAGGCGCGATGTTATGCAGCGCGGTAGGGAAAAGATGGGTCGAGGTGAGTTGGAGTAAGATGCGGTCTCTGGTGGCTTGGGATGAAGCTGACGAGTGATGAGAAGAAGTGTGCCAACAGTGGCCTCAGATCTATAGTCCAAGACTAGTGGCCAGTGTTCTCCGCTTCGAGCGGTCATGCTGAATGCCTCGGGAGGCGGAGCGTTGCACAATTGAGGGGCTTAGAGGGCCACTTGGTGGCAAATTGGCTGAACAAACACGGATTGGCCGGTTCCGAGATGGACAGGTGCTACGGAGCTGCACGGAGGTAGCCATGGTGCTTAAAGGGAGGAGAATACATAGGAAAGAAAAAATGATTAAGTAAATATTTTTGTCCGAAGTTGGGAAATTTTCTCAGACGTCTTTGAATAGGACGTTCACGAGGCAAAGTGCTGTGTCTACACTGCTGGATTTCAGCAAAAAAGATCTTGAGGTGAACCTTTTTGTGTGCCGTACCGCAGGAATCAGTATTGAAGCCAACTCAGGATTATGTGGCTTAAAGGATCAGAATGCAACTAAAAATACTTTAAGGAACTTTCGTTTGTCTTTAGAAAGGATCTATGACAATACATGTGACTGCAGTTCTGATTTTTATTGAGTAAAGAAACTGGATAGGAAATTTGCCAGTTCTGCAATTTCACTAGCTAAATGCAACTCACAAATAAAAGGGGCTGTCTACTTCTTTGGAGGAAATCGAGGTAAGCTAAAGAAGTCCCCGCTACCACCAAAAAATGGTTTGGTTTTCTCCGGAGTGTTGCTGCTTTGCAAGCAGTTCCACGCTTGCCAGTTTAAAGTTAACCTCAAAGGGAGAGCGGTTATTGCACTTGCAACATGCGAAGACCTTCAAGGATGGATCTACAGGCTCCTACATTAGTGGTTCTATCCCATTGACTATTTACTTAGCTTAAATGTTATCGTGAGCTTAGCATATTGTCTTAAGAACCTGACGAATATGTAACACATAAACTTTCATTGTAGGAATCCATCGGCTACTTTGGCATAAGTGAGTCGATGGAAGGCTTTATAGGTACCTTCTGGTATAATAGACGAAATATCTTAGTTGTTTGACATTGTTTTCGTAACTTTGTCATATTGGTAGGAAGACTTAGAGGAACACACCAAGTCCGGAGTCCATTTTACGCATGATAATTTCCAGAGTCGAATCGTGGACGTGGTAAATTCCAAATATGACCAAGTCGCGAAAACAAGGTCAAACAACCTCTATACAACGAAAGGAGACAGCAAACACACAAAAGGCCCACTATCTTGGTATTCATACCTTCAAAATATCTCAGTGCTTACTCGGCAATCGATCTAACTCAAGTGGGTTGACCTCATTATCACTATTGGTCTTATTGTCAGGGCGACATAGTAGAACA